CTGGAAACCAGCTATCTTGATAGAGGTTTATCCTTCATCTGTCAAAGTAAACGTGAAGGTACTACCTTAACCTTATGACAAACATCTTCCTTCCGCATACTTTACAATTCATCATTCACAGTCTTCCTATCTTCTGATGCTGTAAAACCTATGCAGTTTAAAAAGTGTTCCTATATATAAACTTGCAATATCTTGTGTGTGCACCAAATGCCCCAACCATCTCACCCCATTTTCTGAGCACATAGTATGTACCCACTTTCATTCAGTATCAAAATTTTAACCCAGGACTTCCTGAATATAAAGCAGCACTATGTAAAATACCTGGTGGTACAAAGATATATAGAAAACAAATGGTGGTACATTCCCCAGAAATCTCACATCTCTGTTCTATTGCACAAGGAATTTATACTTACTGATGTCAGTAATATATTTATCTGATCCTGTAGCCCCTTTGAAAGCACTTGCAATCCATACAGCTGGAAATACCTCTGCATATTTGTCCCACACCTATGGAAAATAAATTCATTGGTTAATACTATGCAATTCAACAGTGAAAGTATGAATATGCATGCACACATACACACACAATCTTGTCTGTAATATATTTTATTTAGGTTTGCTTCATGTGCATAGAAATAAACAATAAAAGCACTAAACAAAACTAGCTCTAAACATCTGAAGTAGTCCATCTTCAAACAAAATTCTGAAAAGCCAATCATGTCCATAGTTAGGGACTTACTACCTCCATCATCAGGGTAGTACAACCCAGAAAACATTTGTCTTTGTACTAGAAGTTTCTTATGTAATTTTCCCCAGTTGCTTGCAATGATATCTTTCCTAGGTAATGAACCATCGGATTCACAATAGATGGATAATTTCTTGAACATCTGAGTGACTATCAGTTTCTCAAAAGCATTGTGCACCATGGAGCTAGTCAGATATGCTTGAAAACAGGTATATAATTATGTTAATGTTATATATTGAGAACACCACACCTCAGGTGCAATGTAGCTGGCAACATCAGGTGTATACTTCCATATCACAGGTTCTAGTAATTTGGCAATGCCCCACTCCTCTAATTCTGGTGCCGTCAGTTCTCGGAATTCGTCATCCCATGTTAGTGGTGTCACGCCTGGATGCTTATCCCGCACATATCTGTAAGACAAACAGCTATTATCAGTCTGTCAGCTGCATAGGTTATATGATGTGGAACAAAATTATGACTTATGAAGTGGAAAGAATGTTGCAGCAAATTTTAAGGTACTTTCCAATCATTTCCTAGAGGGACTGAGGAAAAGTACAAAAAAGCCTCCGTCAAGATAACCAACCATTTGATTTGTAAGATTTGAGGTTTTCATGGCAGTGAGTCTGAAGATGGCCGTCTTATGGGTTGTTGCGCCGTGTAGTCTGGTAGAAGTTTGCCGACATTCATCACCCTGATGATGGATGCGGCAAGGACCTCTGAAACGTTGGTAAACCTCTACCAGACTTCTACCGGCACAACAACCCAGAAGACAGCCATATTCAACCTTTAGATTGTGAATCAAACTCATGACCTAACTACAAAGTAGGAATCATAATCACATAATTATAACACTAAATAATTAAATAATATCCAATATTATATACACATATAATAAACTGATCTGCTTACTTAGCAAGTCGACTGACATGATGTAAAAACAGCTGCTTCTTGCTCCACTGATGGTCCACCATAGTCAATCCACAACGCACACACTCTCCAAGATAATAAACCTCATCACAACCAATATGAAGATATTTAATGTCAGGATGCAATGCCACTACTTGGTCAATCATAGTTGACAGTAAGTCAAATGTGGAATTGTGAGTTGGGCATATCACCTGAAATAATAAATTTAAAAAAGTGCTGTGAAGTTGTTACACACAATGAAAATAAACGTCTTAGTTGAGGCATTAGCTCTTCTGCTTCATATTCAGGAGGTCCCAGTTTCAAATCTCAACCTGCAGACTGGCTATCCTGACTGAGGTTTTTGATGGTTTTCCTCAGTCCCCTCCAGAAAAATGTCAGGATAGTACTTTACATTATTCACAAAACTGAGTGCAGTAACATCTGAGGTATCTCTCTTTTGTGAACGTCATACAAAATTTTAACCAATATTCTTCCAGCACAGTTAACACCATTTATGAGATCAGTGTGGATTCTGCCGTAACAAGTTATCTGCTAATCAGATCTTTTGCATCCAACAATTAGAGAAAAAGTAGGAGTATAATGCATCAGTACACTAACTATTTGTGGACTTTAGGAAGGCACATGACTCAGAAGAGTGGTACTGTATGGCATTTTGGTTGAGTTTGCATTACCAAAGAAATGTGTTAGGGCAGCTAAGATTTGTATGGATGGGGTATCTAGTAGATTTCATATAGGTAACCTGTTGGATCCATTCCCAGTGCACAGTGGCCTAAAACTGGGATGCTTCATCTCCAGTGCCTTTTAATTTTGCTCTAGAACATATCATCAGGACCCACTTAATGGTACCTGCACCTTGTCGTGGTGGTGGGCTTGAGTACCTCAGTGACCCCAAGAGCTATGCTGGTGGTAGCATAGCTACTGGTAGGGCCTCACTAGCCAGATTGGTCGAGGGGGAGAGGTCAGACTAAGACAGGTACCCTGGTCCTCCAGGTTGGGGGTTGGTCACCTTGCACCGTAAAAAGGAAGATGTTTCGAAACCTCAATCAAAACCTCGGATAGAATGGACCTAACAATAGGACTGAATGGAAGAGGAGAATTGAGGAGGCCATGGACCAAATACGGACCGGAGATCCATAGAAGAAGAGAAGACATATCATCAGGAAGGTCAGAGGGAATTAGGAAGGACTCAAATTGAATGGTCTGCACCAGCTACTTGTGTATGCTGAGGATGTTAATTTGCTGGGGGATGGTGTGGGTACCATAACCAAGAATGCAAATACTCTCCTACAGGCTGGCAAGGAAGTAGGCTAGAAGTAAATGTAGACAAGACTAAATACATGGGCATAATATGAGATTAACATCAGCAACAATGGTGGAACATAATTATAAATAACACATCATTTGAACATGTTTCAACATTTAAGTATCTGGGAACAACAATAACAAATAGAAAGTTGGTCCATGATGAAATTGAAAATAGAATACATTTGGGAAACACTTGTTTAAATCAATTCAAAACTGTTATCACCCCATTTGCTATCCAAAACACTAAAAATCAGGATACATAAAGCAATAATTTTGTCTGTTGTCTTGTATGATTGTGAAACATGGTCGCTTACCTTGAAGGAAGAAGTGCTTGAAAAGAAGGTGCTCAAGACGATATCTGGACCTAGGAAGGATGAAATAAGTGGAGAATAAATCTAGGAGGCTCTGATGGGCTAGACATGTAGAATGCATGGAGGAGAGGTTGCAATGCGTAGGAAACGTGACTGTCAGCCAATGTTTTGAGGTATAAGGCAATGAGCACTGTCTAGTGGGATCATTAAATTGTGACACCATGTATTCATGCAGTAAACCTTTGAAGATTCGGTTAAAATGGTTAGAATTTTAAATGCAGCCATGAGGATCAAACATTGAGAAATATAGTGAGATGCAGGATAAGTCACCACTTCAACATTTCTGTAGTAGCCCAAATACAGCAAATATGTTACATCTTTCTCTGTAAGGCTCAGTTGTCCTTTGCCTTGTAGGCTGAACATTCATATAGAATTGAGGCCTTTATATCTTACCTGAGGGTACTTCTGCACCTCACGGAGTTCAGAAAATTTCTGTAGTTTCAACAGAAATTCCAGATGGCCAAAAGTCTGAATCAGTGGGATTATTTCTAAGCCATTGTTTGTGGCTAGCTGTAAAATACGCTGAATGTCCGATTCGGAATAGGCATTATACGCAGGTAAATCTTGCAGATGTGGCCCACTGAATGGAAACATGTCTTCATATTCCATAAGAATACCTGTTGCACCCAAGGAACGTATCAAGGGAAAGAAGTCCTCATAGTACGAAACTCTTGGTGGTGCTCCTTTAAGATCTAAGTGGACTACTCGGTTACCTCTGAATGGGTGTACACCACTGCTCCATGAACCACCTAAATCTTCTTTTACGTCATTTGCACGATTTTCACCAGAATGAATATTGTGGTCATTTGGGAACATAAGTCTCCTGCCCAGTCTATCGTCTTCAGATGCCCCTTTTCCTCGAACATCAGCCATTATGCGAGCTTCATATTCTTGCTGCCTTGACTTTTCTTCTGTTTTTTGTGTGACTGTTGAAAATTCATTAATATTTTCCATTTTAGTCAAATGAACATTAATTTCCTTCATAATACTGGGTGTTGTAACATCATTTGCTGACATTCTATATAAAATTAAGATTAAAGTTGCAATAGTCAATGCAATCACAGTTACTTGTGTTCTACCACGCATTCTCCACATCATTCGTCACAACATAACCCCTCCTTTGCTAGGTTAGTTTTATATAAACGAGTGGTTTAATGCATTCTCAAATAATTAATTTATAAAATTTACAGACTTCAAAGGATTCAGTGTTACTTAAACAAACGGGTGATTAATATCAAATCATAATATATAAGTCTAAAACGACACTGCGATTTCTCCCCATCAAAAAACTAAAACCAACCCCACATTTATACAATCATGACATTAAGCACAGGCAAACCAGTGCTGGTAATTCGTGCCAGTGAACTTTCGAACGGCACTACAACCGTGGAGTGTAAAAGATAGTTATCCCGCTTTACGAGCTCAACTGTCGACAGAGAGTGGATCATGGGTCTGACCATTCCCTTAAACACAGATTTTTGGCTTTTACTTGGATGGGGCGCATACTACCCAAACTTGGATCACCTTCATTGTGTCATCTGGTAGTTTTCGAGGCTCTTCTTTGGACTCCTCAAGTTCATGCTGTATATTGAGCAAAGAGGCCATCCTCAAAATTGTTTCGTCTTTAACAATAAAAGTGGGCTCGTGTGAACACAGATATAAACCTCCGGGTTTCATACGATGCTGGCAATTTTTGATTAGCGGAGCGTAATATTTACTTGTCAAGAAGGATTCTGTTCCATGAGATGATTAGTAATTGAGTATAAACGTCAAGAAGGAAGAGAGTTAGGGCGACAAAGGCAAATATAGAACCACCAATAAGACACTTAATAGGATATTTAGTCTAATATATTAATTTGTAAAATTATTTTTCATACTTGTATTGCAGAATCTGAAATTTATGTACATTGATATGTGAAATACGTTCTTGTACTTGTGTTGAAAGTTTTGAAGTGTATGTATATTATATGAAATGAAATGTTCTACATCCTATGGTTGAGTCCTAAGAAGGATCTATGGAATGTAAATAAACTCTACTCTCTACTCTACTCTACAGGAAGATCAAGAAAGTGAGATCTTTGGTTTGTTTCACTGCGAAGAGTTGAGTCTGGTAATCTGTGGCACAGAAAATATAAATGTTGTGTACGTGAGTGAGTGTGGGTTTGCGTTTCGATTGTGTTGATTTGTTTGATAACACAAGTATTACTTTGTTATTGTCTAATATTATAAGACTGATTAAGAAAGCGAAATGAGTAAAGCACATCCACCAGAGCTTAAAAAGTAAGTGGTGTATATGTGATTAACTTTATGCTTGCAACGTTTAGAATTCCATTTTCGTTATTCTAACTCTTGTACTTTATTTTTACAGATTCATGGATAAAAAATTATCATGTAAGTATTTATTATATTGTAGAAGCAGTTGAATTGTTCAAGTATCATTCTTAAAACATAATAATTCTTCTGCTCAGCACGAAATCAGGGAACTGGTCAGAATGTGCCAGCCGAATGTTGTTTTAAGTTATATGTAGAATAGAATGGAATAAAATAGAATTTTTATACATTCACTAGATTGTTCATAGTGCAAGATGTGGAACACGTCATAATATGAATACTAGCAAGAAGTATAAACTTCATAACAACTACAAATATAACTACATATTTGTTAGAACTGTTTGCATAAGTATTCGTAATATCTTCAATTGAAATCAATTCTACAAAGTAGAAGGCTTAAAATAAAATACAATCTTTCAGTGTTGTCTTAAATACATTTATATCATGATTTAGACTTTTAATGCTGGCTGGAACAGTATTGAATAATTTGACCCCTAAATAGTAAGCAAATTTCAGATAACTAGTGAGGTTAGGATTTGGTATATGGAGGTCATATTTATGCCTTTTTTATATCGTGTATGGCTTGATATCCACAATGAATGACAGTAATGAGAGTAACAATTCACTTGCAAGGGGAAGTACATTAAATTTCTTAAATAGTTCTTTATAAGAAACTTTTCTTTAACACTTGCTGTTATTCTGATTTTTTAATGTTAAATACTCTTTTGCTGTCTGTTGAATTTTCCTAGAAGGTAACTCCATATGATATGTTGGAATGGAAGTAAGCAATGGAAACTAAGAGTGCTTTAAAAATTTTGTGGCATGAAGGAATGGAAGTAATCAAAGTAAACTTGTTTTAAAAAAAGTTTTAGGGATTTTGTGACAAAGCATACCAAATTTAGTTTGGGGATAATATATTCAGTGTCACTATATCAAATCAAATATACAAACAAATGTTTTGCACTTTAAAACATAATTATATCTTTCCAGACACGTTTCAACCTCATGAGGTTATCATCAGTGGCATATTAAAATCATTCCATTAACATATTGAATCGATATAGTCCATACAACAATATGCTGTCATAATGCATTGTGTGTAAAGATGGTGTCCTGCTCCATTATGTCATGTTTGTAATACCACATTTTGGGTTCAGGAATCTTATGGTTTATGTAGCACATGAACTAGTGTATTGTCCCATTGAGTCACGCATATGTGCTGGGTTGCGTCGTTCTATTTGAATCATTTTCAAATGAATACCAGCTGTTCTCTTTGAATTAAAGAAGTAGTTCCATTTACTATCTATGACATTATTAATTTTTTCTCTGCACCTTGACAGAGGTATGATTAGCCATGCAGCCTATGGTAATGAAAGAATTGCCAACCCCTGACTTAACCATTGCCCAGCTTCACCTTTAATTACATAAAAATGTAATTGGAATCACTAAATTCAGTTGTCATGTTTTTAAAAATAGCTCTACGCTTCAGAAGCTGGATCTGCTTCCGTCCTCAGGTTAAAAAGGGGGAGAGGGCACCTACTTATTTGGGTCTGATAGAAAGAGATAAACTCGATCACTGATCCAGTGGTTTAGGTTAGCCTGATTGTAACATACCATTGTCAGTACCCTTTAAAATTGACATAAAAATGTAGTTTCACTAGTAATACATCATAATTCACATAATCAGATGCTTCACAGAATATTTCACTGATGTGTATTTTATCATTAAGGTTGCGTAAGATTTCATGTATGAATTTTTACAGTTCTTTATCAGTATTACAAAATATGCCTTTCTGGTGAGACAGCAATGTGCCACTAAAAGGTTATGTAACAGTCCAGTTACTGTGAGCTGAACAATTTTGCGGTAAGGAAGCTTGTGTGTCAGATGCTTCTGTAGTAGTTCTGGTGACCTGGAAATGGGTGCACTTCTACAAAAGCATGTAGCACTCAAAGAATTAAATGGACATTTTATATAGAATACTGAATATAAGTGTAAACATTCATCTATGGTAAGGAATTCTGAATATTTTATTTATTATTATTGTTATTTGTTTTGATAGTCTTATAATATATACTTTTGGCTATAAGGCAGGAAGTGTAGTATGTTTACGTGTTGTACATTATTTTATTATAACTTGAGATGGTTTTTTTAAAATAGTGAAGTTGAATGGAGGACGACATGTTGTTGGCATTCTTCGTGGCTTTGATCCATTTATGAATCTTGTTGTGGATGAAACAACAGAAGAACGCAAAGATGGCAGCAAAAATAATATTGGCATGGTGGTGAGTACTGTCTAACGGGTGAATTGTTAATTCCTAGCTCAGTTAGAGAAGCCCTGCTGTTGGCTGGATTACTAGGGATTGACTTCTGACAGGTGCAGCGTTTCTCAGTTGTCATCTCGTCCAAGTTGCCTATGCAGACCATCATGTATTCTGTATAAAGAGTACTAAGGTCTATTTTCCCAGAGGTTAAAGTGGCTGGAGCATGAAGCTTACTGCTAGCCTCCATCAATTGAAAATGTTAAGGTAAAGGTTGGAGACATATTTATTCTTCAAGAGACTAATGATGTCATGTGCCCAAAACAAATGGTTTGAGTTAGTTCATCAGCAGTTAAATTGGAACAAATTGAAAGTGGACTACCTAAAGAGGCAGTTGGAGCAGAAAATATGCATGGATGTCAATATTCAGGTACAAAATCTAAAAGATTCTTACTGAAGAGCAAGAAGATCAGAAATTGAGGATGGAGGTTACAGACTACAAAAATGGTAATACTGTTCTAATTGATAATATTATCCTTGCAATAAAAATGAATGCTCCCATGCTGTCCATATAGGGCATTATGATGATAAATTGGTGAAGTATACAACCATTCCAGAAAGTTGGTACAGCAAGAATTATGCCCTTGAATGTGTGGAGTGCATTAACCCTGTCATAGAAAAACAGCTTCTGCATGAATTTCAGAAGTCTAATTCATATGTTGATAGTAGATGAAAGTACAGCATTTTATTTCTCACAGTATTTATAAAAATGAAGATATAAAATAATAATCAAAACTCTTATATGATACACATTAATGTTTGTAAAAATCATTATTTTGTTTGCAGGTGATTCGGGGAAACAGTATTGTCATGTTGGAGTCATTAGATCGAGTTTGAAAGTCATACCTTCCAAGAAAGTGTCAGCTTTAAAAATATAATGTGTCTTTTTTACATGTGTGGTTGTATGTAGCTAAAGTTATAATTTCCAGAACATAAATCTCCAACTTTTTATCAGGTTTTTATTTTATATTGTCCTTTTTCCCAAATCATGTTACAAATATTCTTACTTTTTATATCTTAATTGCGTCATGTTTGTGTTATATCAATACATATATTTATTTTTCCAGTCTATACACAAAACTGTTTTAAAATAATGTTGTTAAAATTATTTATAACATTTACAATATAAATTGCATTATGTTATATTTCATGGCGCTTTCCTGTGTCGTATAATATTACATTTATCGCAGCGCTTTTGATTTCGACGACATGTTTCGATGTTTACCACATCATCATCAGGCTTATCAATTCATATATTTTTAAAAACTATTGTACATTTGTGCATTGCATTTATTGATTTTTAATTTTCAGTCTTCATCTTGATTTGGAGTATGCATTTTGATGTTCATTACACAAATGTACAATAGTTTTTAAAAATATATGAATTGATAAGCCTGATGATGATGTGGTAAACATCGAAACATGTCGTCGAAATCAAAAGCGCTGTGATAAATGTAATATTATACGACACAGGAAAGCGCCATGAAATATAACATAATGCAATTTATATTGTAAATGTTATAAATAATTTTAACAACATTATTTTAAAACAGTTTTGTGTATAGACTGGAAAAATAAATATATGTATAAATATTCTTACATTCTGCACCCTCTAATATGAGTTCTTTTACTGCTTCGTGTATTAATACTGAATATCTGAATGAGAAGTAAAAGTCACATGGAAGAATAGGTGACAGAAGATCTGGAAACAGGTGGACCCTCATCTTGAGTGTTGGTATGTGTCACATTGCATAGTTTGGTCTTTACAGGAAGGAACAGTCACATTGAATTCTTAAAGTCAGTCTATGTACAAATTTTGTTATTCAGGTTACCAGTATTTTTCACTCGTTTTTAGTAACCAGTAATTTATATTCTCGGAGGCAGATTCCTTTAGTTATGCTAGCAGGTGTTGTTTTCATAGCAGCTGGTAATGGATAAATTAGACATTTTGAATGAAACGTGTTAACATTTGAAAATAAGGAGTGTGATTTCATCATTGTGTTTGCAACTGTACCTAGTAAGCAGTGTTTACATAAACTGGTAAACGAATTTGTTCTTTGACGGCTGTACAGTATATGTAAAACGATCTGCGAACAATGTTAAACACGTGGACCAGATTACAACGATCTTGGACTGGCCTTCGAGTCAGACAATTTTCAGAATGAAGGCTAAATAAACTCTTAACCGACTTGTAAACGAGACCGGTCAGATGTTTCGAAGTGACCACGGATCAAGATTGATTGGTAAGCGAAACGGGTTCGGGGACGAACGCTGATGAGATGGACGACAGTTCTTTGGAACCGAAATTCGAATCTAAGTAGTACCTTAACTGATTCGTTCATTTTTATACGTTCGTTCCGAAATGCTTCGTCATTACTGTGGTGTATGCCATGTGTAGGTGATCCCTGTGTTGTCGCAGACGTGTTTGCTCTGTGGTGTGAAAATGCTTTCTTTCACGTGTTGTTTGGTGGAACTGCGTGTTGTCAATATTTTGATGATATCTTAATTCATAATTTTGTCCTGTTTACCTCCATTTGGTAATAGCGTATCAGCCTAAATGACAATGCTCGCTCGCTTTGCTAATTGAATTACAGTTGTGCCGGTAGATGGTAGCAGGAGGCTTGATTAGTTCTTATGTCAATCGGGTGAGTGTATTTTGAAACACGGAAATATTTCCTTCTCCATTTAATTTAGGTCAGAGGGTTGATATTTAAAGAGACTGGAGAAAATTGTATTGATGAGGAGGTCCATAATTTGTGCTCCTAACCAAATAATATTGGGAACAAATCAAGGGGGATGAGATGAACGGGGCATGTAGGGCACATGTCAGAGATAAGAAATTCCCACAACATTTTGAGAATAAAACGTGAAGCGAAGATACCATTCTGGAAGCCAAGGGTTAGATGGTAGGATAATATTAAAACTGATATTAGGAACCTAAGTTCGGAATATGAGGAGTGGGTACATCTGGTTTAGTATAGGTATAAATGGCGGACTCTTGTGATTTTGTAATGAGCTTTTGGGTTATATAAAAGGCTGGGGAATTTATTTTTTGTCGAAGCCTTTTATTTAGCTGCTCAAGGATTCATTTCTATGAAGTTACTTAGCCATCGGAATACTGGATCAGGAGATCTAACATCGAACGCAATGGGCGATTGAATGAAATTGAAGAAGAAGAAGAACTTACACGATATCAATATGATTCATTAGTCAACTGGTTATACGTTGAAGTTATTTCCGTAGTTTGTGTTCGCTGTTATTGCGTATACTGTGTTGCAAACAAGTGAGATGATGATGGTGGAGGAAAAGAACAATTAGTTTTTAAGTGTTTGTGACCACAAAGGAATGGGAGTGGCTTTGATGATTTGAAAGTTCTGTCAGAAGAAAGATGCATCGACGACGGACACCAAATAATTTTACATACGTTAGTTCGTGTGTTAAGTATATGATATTCCTTCTCAATTTTATATTTTGGGTAAGTTTAAGATGATTCTGTTTCAGTTACAAAATAACGTGTTGCCCATAACAATAGGTCAAGGTTAGGTTAATGTTAACTTTTCTACTGCAATTTTACAATTTTGCAGCTTTTTGGTGGTCTCCTTATTGGTGTGGGACTATACGCATTTGTTGATAAATGGCAGGCAACAGGTTTGGTAAAAGTGGAAACTGTGTACGACGTCATCCTGAACATTTCACTTGTTATGGTGATTGCTGGAGGAGTCATCTTTATTGTGAGTTTTGCAGGTTGTGTTGGCGCTCTTCGGGAAAACACCTGTCTGCTGAAATTCGTAAGTAGTGCTGTTTCTGATACTGTTTCTATATGATCTGTGATTTTGTATTGTCATGAAACAATGTAATTGCTGTTATGGTGGCAACTCATTTCCCACTCACCTCTTCACATTTACACATGCCATAGATTATTACTGCTCTGGTTATGTGCTCTTATAATGTAAAGGAAACAGAATTAAATCAAAAGACTAGTTCTTGCCAAACATTGTGTTATAATGATTAGCACTTCTGTTCTGCTTCTTATTCATGATGTCTTTGTTTCGAACATTAACATAAAAACTGGCTATTCTAATAAAGTTTCTTGTGGTTTTCTTTAGCCTGTCCAGGCAATGCTCAAGCATTATTTTAGAATAGGCCCTGACAGTGCACACACCATTCTCAATTCATAACCATCCCATTCAGTATTATATGTCTTATCCAACTAAAAAAACATTACAGAACAAACAAAAGAACAGTACTGTCTCCATTCATGGTACGGATATGAAGTTCCGAAGGATTACGTGGTATAAGTAAGATGAAAGAAGTGGAAATATTTTCCATTTCTTTGTCACACATAAATTGAACCATGATGTTAGTATTTCTATAATGTAATATGTATGCTTTTGTCATTGAGATAAAAGCTGTTATTTATTCTAGCTTCAGGTATGTAACACTGATGTGATGTTTTTTAAAAGATAATTAACATAATATTATGCAAGATTAAAGCAAAATTGTATCTTTTATTTGCAGTATTCCCTGTGCCTACTAATATTTTTTCTCCTGGAAATGGCGATTGCCATCATGGGATTTGTTTTCCCACATACGATGCAATCTGTACTTGAAGAACAGTTTACTGATAAGATTATACACACATACAGAGAAGATGTTGATCTACAGAATTTAATAGATTTTGCTCAGCAAGAGGTGAGTATTTTTTATTTTGAATTTTACTTAGGAAGTTGCTTTTTGTGTGTTTGTATTGACCTCTTTCTAGCTTAAGTTTTCTAATGGTCTTTCTAGTTGCCATCTTTGGTTCTTTGTTAAATTCTGTCTGTACTTCATTCTGCCACTATGCAGTCTTTTAATGTGACAAGTCCATTTCTTTCTGTAGTCCAAAATTGTCCTTATTTTATCTAATTATCACATGCATTTCAAAACAAAGTAATTAACCCCTTGTGCCTTGCATTCAAGTGACACTGAATGGTCACGGAATCCAATTTAAATTGACAGGCGGGTTAGTCTATCTTGAAAAGTTTAGTGAATTAGACTGATAAGATAGCTCTGTGGCATTTTGCTGTGCATACAAGTCTGGCCTATTATTAATACATAAGCAGTAAAAACTTGGCAGACTTCATTACTGTACTTTAAGAAATTACTAAACATGATGTAAATCTGATTAAAATAATGTATTTTATTCTTACTCATATTATTTCCAAATATTTTGAGTTAATTACAAAACCAAGTCCATTCAGCCTTGTTCAACTGTAATTTAACACTTAGAACCTTTCCCTATTTCACTCTAGAGTCTTCAGGATATCACGCTGTATGGAAATGGTTGCAGTCACTAGTGTTTCAGAGTCATGCTACTTCAGGGTTGACACAGGTTCTTCTGAAAGATGTATGGTGCAATACTTGAAGGACTGCATTGATTATCAATCACTGTGCAAACCTCCCTAATTCTTTCTCTTCTTGCATTTTCCTTCACTTTAGACTATAATCTTATTTCAATGTAATTACAGTGATTCAACTTTTTTCTTTAGATTTGGTATAATAACTACAAGAAATTTGTCATTACTTGCAGATTAATTTTGTCCCTTCCTATTTAATTTCTTGTAGATAAGGCATTTGTAGTAGAAAGAATGTGTTTTGTATAAAATTATAAATACATATCAGAAAACATTTGTTGCATATGGACTTGGTTTTTATTGTATTTGTTTTTAGTTTCGATGCTGTGGACTCACTTCTGGAGGCTACATGGATTGGTCAAAGAATGAGTATTTCAACTGTAGTTCACCAAGTGTGGAGAGATGTGGCGTTCCATTCTCATGCTGCATGAATGCAACCGATATTTCTGTAAGTTTTTTGTCAAGTTCCATTTTGATTGATGGTGTATAATTTGTTAGAAATCCTTAGGTAGAATTATTTCTCAAAGTGATTACATTCTCTTTAAAACAATTTCAGGATCAAACAGATTCATGAAGCAGTGATGCCGTAGACTTTTCTTTGTTAGGTATTTGTGTTTGTCTTGGCTACTGACTGTCCTGATTGTAGTTTATCATAGTGCTCCTCAGTTTCTCCAGACAAATGCCTGGATAATACCTTTAAATTCTTATCTGTATCATTTGTGGTCATCCCATCTTTTTGAGCCTCACCTAACTTCTACAATTTAAACAATGTCATTAAATAACCTAAGAATAAAATTGTTACCAGGCTTTCACATATATATTCTCATGTGTTCTTTCTGTTGGAATGATGCTACCTGTTGATGATTTAAATTGTGTTATGACCGGACATTTAATTTTTTAGCATACAGGTAGTTTACTGATTCTGATTTGCATTATTTTCCAGCAGCATTGATAACAAAAAGGTGAATAAATTTTATAATATTTTCTCAGGCAATCAGCTGTGTTGATGTATTTGACTCAATATTAACACAGCTGATTGCCCAAAAGAATTTATAAAATTCATTTGCTGTGAAAGTGTTAACTTTTACATGAATAAATTTTGACATTGTTCTTGCCTTATATAATCTTTGTTCAACATACTTTTATGTTTATAGGTATTTGTCCCTGGTGTAAATCAGAAACTACCTGTACTAAGTTTTAGGACCTAACAAGTCAGTTCTGTATAGATATATGTATATTTTTTGTGCATTGTTGTTTCAGAGTGGCCTAATTAACATCATGTGTGGTTATGGAGCTCAGGAGTTTCCAGTAAGTTACATGAAGTATAGTAAATTATATATAGGCCCTGACATCATGATGATAGTGTCTCATTGGTACCACATACAGTTGATGAATGGTGGAAACAGCGTATATATAGGCCCTGATATCATGATGATAGTGTCTTATTGGTACCACATACCCTCATCTCCATACAGTTGATGAATGGTGGAAACAGCAGATTCTTGAATGTGTATATATCTTTTTGAAACACTCTGTATGTCACCAATCCCAGTATTTCTTTCCTTTTAATACTGTTTTACAATAAATTATACCTTTGTAATGTGCCACCAATAATGTTGCGCAAACATATTACAAAAATAAAATTTCTTGCATCACAAGTTGATTATGAGATTTGACAAGTTGACCAAAATGGAAAACTAAGGGTGAATGGGAATGTTTAAATTACAGATGTTTGTTTTCAGCCATTGACTGATGTTTCATTGCCCTCCTGGTGAAAGCTTTCAGATATGATTTATTTTCACTTAAACCATGCTCATGCCTCTTGAATTTATGCCGTACAACCCAAGTAGTGCAAGCTGTCCATGTTAAGAATTCCAGCGTTAGTGGATTAACATAATGTAGAAGTGGTAAGACACTTGGTTTTAATGATAAATTTTTTTAGGTTGCCGAGGCTGCTAAGAAAGTATGGACAAGTGGTTGTATCGAGATTGTTAGGTCTTGGGCTGAGAGGAATCTATATACGATAGCAGGTGTGGCCCTTGGAATTGCCTTGTCACAGGTAAGCAGATGTGAATGGAGATACCAATTTATATTATTTGGGTAATCAGGTAAAGGATATTGTTGTGGTTTGAATGTGCAGCGTGAATAATAACAATAATGCATATGCAGTTATTTTTTTTTTGGGAAAACAGACAGTTAGAGGAAGAAAATGTGAGGAGAGGGTAATATTAAAATAAGTAATAAACTGTGAAGATTGGAAGTGGATTGAACTGTCTCATGATCATGTCAAATGGCAGGTTTTGATGTGGCGGGGTTCAGCCTGTATGTTCTGATAATGGAGAGTGAACAAGTTAGCCAGATGTGTTTGAATATGTAACTGGTTTTACTTAAATTTATGTTAAGATTTTAGCTGACGTGAAAAAAAAAATCCAAATGTCTTTGAGTACTGTCGTGTTGCTTTTGGTGGAATTAAGTTACAGTTGAAGTTATGTTTGTGTATTGACTGTAACATTTATAGCCACGTGTTTATTGTTTCTTATAGTTATTTGTTATCTACCTGGCAAAAACCCTAGAGGGTCAAATTGAACTTCAGAAATCAAGATGGATCACATGAAACATTGCCTACCGTCTCGGATGAACATATTAATGTGAGGTAGGTCTGTATATGTAATACTGTCACACTTCTTCTGGAACATTCAGTGGCAAAATATTCATCTGGAGTGTAATCACAGCATGTCTTAGAGTCAGCATCAGATTCAGTTTTCAGCTCTGAAAGTGACAGTGTCTTATTTTTATTATGTTTCATGTGTGGACCAGTGTTTACAAATTTGGGTTTTGTGTAAGAGAAGATTTGTGCAAGTTGTTGGAGTTTAATGGTGCTGTGCAGCTTTGGGCTTGTTTTTCTCTTATGATGCAAAGTAGGATTTGTTAATTTAGATCTGATAAATTTTTCTATTAATTTAGAGTAATCATATTTTACATAATTTTATCTGCAATCTTTTAGTGGATTTTATTTCTCACCAAGGCGAATTTCTTTTGTTATTTAAGGTAACTGTGAACTGTTTAAATCACTGTGTCTCCACTTGAATTATTATAAAAACAAATGGTGCAAAGAGCACAGTATTGTAAATATTTTTTACAATCTTATAAAAATTTTAAATAATTGTTTTCAGGTTTATCAGTGATGTGACTGAAATATTAAGTTTGCATTTTACCATTTCACATCAGCATGAATCAGAGTTAGAATACTGCTTATTCCAATAAAAAGTATGTACTTCATACCACACCTCTTAGTATTTTCAGTCATTTTTTATTTTGAGACCTCAGAGTTGATGACAGAGATACGTTTGTTTCTTAGCAGGGGTTTCTGGTGTTCCCAACATCTGATAAATGTTTTACTGAGGTTATCCTGTTTGCTGTGCTCTGGTTTTCTACTGCACATTCAAATCACATGTAACTTAGTGATGTTGTGAAAAGGTCCAACACATATTTTATATATGTCACTGCAGGTGACATGCAGTTGAAACTGGGGCCCTTACAAAGAGCAATAGGGATGTTTTCTGAAAATAATGGCATCACAAGGATTTTCATCATGAAATGTTCTGATTAAAATGCACATGTGACATGTGATAAGTACAGTGGAAATTTTAGTGGGCCATTAAAAATACCAAATGTTTTCTTATGACTTGTGGTTAAAAGAAAATATAAAGATAGGAATAGTTTAACCTTTTAAAGATATTCAGGGTGTAATTATATTCATGTTGGCATTTGAGAGGACAGCTTACACCCGAGTGGATGGATTTAATTTTTCTAGATCTTGCCTTTTGTGCATATGTTTATTCATTTGTGTAAAAGTGTATTATTAGGTACAGATATTTTACACTTTTAAATTTTGAAGGAAATTTCAGTAAACAAATTTCAAAGGATTTTCTAAATACGATTGTTTTTAGCAAGAAGATGTCATCTCTGGATGCTTTAAATTGACAATGCTGTGTTATTTCTGTAACTAAAGCATGATACAGTAGGTTGCTGTAATCTGTCATATGTTTTTACTTTCTCTAGCCACTAGCCAGTACTCGTAGTATAAACTATGAGTCTGTCCTTGTGTGCTTGATTTGGTTTTTCTCTTATGGCATGGTAACACCATGTATTGATGACTCCTATACTTTGTAAGCAAGTGTCAGTAAAGAAGTTTGGAAGATTGCTAAACACATAATGAAACATAAAAAATCTTTGGAGTAGTAAAATTGTCTTGTAGGATGACTCAAACATCCTACAAATCAAATACAAAAGTGACAAACAGTTCTGCAAATGCTTATTTTCAAAAAGAGTGAAGGTGATAAAAAATAATTATGTTCAAACAACATCTGTCTAAAGCCTCTGTTTTTCTTGTTACCTGGTGTTCTTCTGTATTTGACACCTACAACAGTATTCTCATGCTATTCCTCCAGGCAGATTGTCATGTTATGTATGTCATCTGCTTCAAAGCTGCTGCAGTTTTATAGCAGACTTTTTAAATTTATTTTTGAGGGGATGTACAGCTGGAAAACTGTGTATCTGTTAACAAGAACATGTTGTGTAGAGTGGTGTGGTGAGGGCTGAATGTTCTTGAAGTGTTCAAAAACCAAACTACTGATTTTTAGATGTATTGAATAGGATCCAGAAAAATATAATTAATGCAATCTCAGCTGAAAGCCCATCAAGTATTGGGACCAGTTTGCATGCGCAAGAATCAAGGGCATCTTTAGGAAAATTACATGTGTGTGCATATTAATGAAGAGTCTCTGTGGCTGGATATTTATCCTCTCATCCTGATTATAGGCTTAAACTTGTGGATAAAATTTTAACTTCCTGGACATTAATACTAGAGTTATAATAACCATTCCTGGCTCACTTCATTGGTGTAATGGTTAGTTCTGACCATTGCCGTTACAATCAAAAATGAAAGTATGTCAGTATTAAATTTAGTCACTTGAAGACCAGAGTGGAAACAATTTCAAGTATTGTGTTTATTAATATTTTTATGCTACATTAATAAGTTCTGTGGTGGCCCCTCACATTGTTGTAAGGAATTTTAAAATGTGTTTGCTTACACAAAACTATGTTTCGTGTATGCCATGTTGCAGGCAGCTTGCATGTTGGAAGGAGATGGTCATTACAAATGATTCTTCCTGTGTTTGACTGTTGCCAAATTGTGAACTAATGTTATTCAAACTGTTCCTAAAAGGTAACATTAACTTACGAAATAGTTTTAAGGAACTTTAAAGTAAATGCAGTTCATACAGTAAGACTGAGATTTTGGTCAAGTCTGTTGACTGTGGGCAGACATAACTGCATTGAAGATGTTACAGGTTCAACAGACATTGAAAATGTTGAGCATAATCATGATGCAGTGATTCAACAACTGTCACGAACTTACGAATCAGAACCATATATTGTTTCACATTACCATTACTTTAAATTCAAGCGGAACTGTTTGTCATAATAAGAGTTCAGTCTGTGCTAACATTGACAGTGGAGACACAGTGTTACATGTATTAATGTGAAATTATTTAAATGCAAAATACTGAATGAAAGTCACTTGTTTATCCGATGAATTTAATGCAACAGGAAGTAAGGAAGCAGTCTTTTCCAAATGTATACTGAAAATCCAAATTTGATTCTGTGTGCAGTTTCCAGGTTCTTATGATTTTAGCATTTAGCAATTTTTTTACCCTTGTAATGCTGAGAACAAAAAAGTGAAGTAATGAAATAAAATTTAGAAGCCTGGAATGCATTCTGTTTCGAAATGAATGTCATTTCTTACTTTGATTTATGCCAGTAATATATGAATTGACTGATCTTTTTCAATGTATTTTAGTACTGTAGTTTAAGAGGAAGGATATATTCAAACATTAGGTTTTAAAAGTTGTATATGGAAGCACAAAGATGTTAAACGTCTTGATTTTCAGTATTTGTGAGGGAATGAGTTTTTATGAGGGATGTGATAAAACTTATGTTCTTTATAAAATTGTTTGTTCAAAAGAAATCTGTCACAATGTTGAGTGCAAGGTGGTTTAGATAAGTTGATGTGTAGGTTCCACTATTATAGCTGTGTTTTCTAAACTTTTCTGTCAGGAAAACCCTTTTGGTCTTGAATGATACTAATAGAATTCCACTCTTGAGTTCTTCAGGGAAGATTCAGAAGTAAGGTCACTCCATTTCTAGCACTCTTGCATTAGTGTACTATATTGACCTTGCCAACATTAAGAAAGTTTTTTACCCAGGAAATGATGTGTAATTGAGGAGAAACAATATATATATATATATATATATACTATATGTTAGTCGCTTAAATCCTAGATGACATAATTAAGAAACTTCCATCTCATATTCCCTTATTGTTTAAAGAAAAACTCTTCTGTCAGTTGTTTGAGAGTTCTTATTTTTCACTCTCATATATCTTAGAGAGTATTAGCTTTTGGATTTATGACCTTAACTATTACTGTCCACAGTTTCTTGTGTTATTTTTGTGTTTTATTTCTTGATTGAATAGTGTCTCAGAAACATATGATTGTTTCAATTGTGTGCCAGTTTTGGTGGTGGCCAGCCTGGCTCTTCAAAATCAACTGTGTTCGTCACAAATTCTCAGGGCAGATGGAAATAGCCATGATCAAACAAACATCACATTTTTACTTAAAAGTTACTTTTCCATTGATTTCATGTTACAATTTAACCGTGAAGCCCCAGAGAATCCTTTGCAGAACTTCAGGGTTCTATTAAGCACAGTTTGAATGACTGGAAAAGTCTGAAGATCGGAACATTTCTCATGCCCCTTATACTTCTAATTAATGTAATTTTTATTGGGATTGTATCTTAGTTATCCTTTTGCCATGTGTGTATATGATTGAATTTCAACATGGATATTTAAGCTGAAATAGTCAGCTTGGTGTCTACAAAATGGACCAAACTGTAGATGAAAAGAAGGTGAAAAGAGCTATGTTTTTATATTACTCATGTAGCTTAGAAATTTTTAACTATTCTTGTTCTTGAACTTATATACTGTTACTCGTCTAGATATGTTAGTAATTGGTATAGTTGTAAGTAATTTTCTTTTCTTATCTTATGGCTTGGCTATTTAAATGTAAGAATTGAAAGCACACATTTGAAAAATAACACATTCTGTGTCCTGTAATGGTAAAAATATTTTCCTTCCAAGAATGGCACCTGTTAAGATAAAAAGTATAAAGTTTTGGATAGTTGTGGGCAGGAGGAACACTTACCAGGTAATAAACCCAAAAAAGACAAGTTGAATATGATGACTGTTTAGATTGTAAACATTTTCAGTAAAAGTTTGTCATCTTTTTAATCCATCTGGCATACTTTTTTTAATCTTCTTTTAGTAGTTAAGCTAGTTAAGCTTTTGGAAGAGTAGGTTACTGGCATTCAGCTTCCTATCTTGGTGAGAGGGATGCTCTGTTTTGGCATCCAAGAGTGCCATCTGGCTGCTCTGCAGCTGTGATATTTGGTCTGCTACTCCATGAGACAGCGTTTGTTGTGTGGCTCCCTCAGGCACAAAGCCAGATTCCCTCCTTTCTCAACTGGGCTTGGGACCTGCTTCTACAGAGTTATTGTTAAAATCTACAGATAGTTTTGGTGGGAGGTGTTAGGAAATGTTTCTTTCACTGATTTCAAACATCAGATAAATCCAGTTCTTGTTTCTAAGCAAGATATCTTGTGGAGGATGGAAAGGTTTAATGTAAAATATTGCCTTGTGCACATATGCTTGTCTGTTATTTCAGTGAATTGTGAATTATTTCTACATTAATATTCAAATAAATGTTATTTTTTAATCCTTTGTACCCAAGGCAGATGAAGATTTGGGTGGGCACTATAAAAAGAGGATCCACGTGTTTCATGTAGTTACCAACTGTTATTAAATCAAGGTTGGAAGAGCTGGGGAATTTGTTTTGGGAAATTTCTTGGAATTATGGAAGACTGATAAAAGGCTTAATGAAACTAGGTGTTGGGAAAATAGGGTGTGAGACTGTGAGCTGAAGTGAATTGGTTCAGAGTTGTTTTACATTCTTGAGCTTTGGTTTAAGGGGTGTGAAACCTTTAGATTCTGGTTCCAGAGAGTTAGGTATTTTTACTTACCCCCCCCCAATCCATCATTCCAAAAATGATGTGCCCTACATCTGCGAGCCCTCTTGTAAGTGTTCCCCCTTTTTTATTTATTCAGTATATCATAAATACATATATTGAATATGCATGCATTTTACCAATATAAGCAGTGTACTGTTTATGACTAATCTTGAGACTTGCAAGGAATGCAGGCAATCCAAAGCATTAAAGATTGACGCTATCTTTCCTCCTTCATCCCGCTTCCTCACTCCACAAGTCTCAAGATTACAGTCACAAACTATATCATGTATGACAAAAATGATAGAGGGTCTTAGAAGTTCATATAACTCATACCAGATGTGTGATTCATAAAATGAGTGCACTGGAATGCAATTCAACTAATTCATGTTTGCTTTCAGTTCTGTACAATTTACCATGTGTATACATTTTAAACGGATCCATCCACAGACTAACATGGGGAGCCAAATGTGCAAGCGTGGAGTTATTGGTTAGTGGATAACATAATTGTTACGTACTTATTAAAGTTTGGCCATATGCATCAACCAGCAAGCAGCATGATGAGTAAGAAACTAAAAAATACAATAATAATAATAATAATAATAATAATAATGTTTTCATACGTAAATAAGTGAAATAGTAAATAAATTGGTGTTCAGAATACTGGAAATGTTCAATTCCATCCATTAAATCCCAATCGGTTTTAATAAAAAGTACCATTTATGTAATTTTTTATGTATCATAAGCAGTGCAGCATAAGAGTGTAAATTATACATCCTGTAGTTGTTATTATGAAGTCTTTGGTCAAATTGTGTTGTTTGAAGATTGTTGGTTTAATTTTACCCTTTCATGGATGGTTTTATTGGTAACTATTTTATTGCATTTTTCATGTATTTTAAATTCTTATGTATGAAAGGCGGTATCAATAAAAAGTTTTACCACAAAAGTCTGAAAGATACGGCATGAGGTATAAAATACAGTGACCAAGAAGGTGAAATATACAGTACAATTTGGTGAAAATCATTCTGTCTTGTTGCTACGTGTCACATGATTTGTCGCATGATCTTATAGCCACATGAATGTGGCACATAAGATGCTGTGCTACATCAGATAAACATGATTGGCTAGACTGTAGTTGGCATGAAGATTGAGTGGCAATTAAGTACATGAGTTTATACCAAAATAAATGCTATTAATTTCTCATGGAACATACACAGTTTATCAGAACACATGGTCAACTTTATGGATAGCTGAAATAGACACTGATACTAGAAGGAGTAAAACAGGAAGAGTCACCATGTCATATTTTTTACCATATGTAAAATATATAGAGATCATGTCGTGTATGTTCTGTATATAGGTCGTTTTGGAAGTTAATTGGAGGTATACACTGGAATTATTCTTTAATGTTCTTTAAATTTATTTTCCTTCTTGCTTTAATTCTTTCACTTTGAACATGAATATTAATTAGTAATTCGTACCTAAAATAAAATTGATGTCTGAAAATTTTTGTAAGAAGATTTAGAAATAGTATTTTGTAATGTGTTGGGTTGCTAACTAAATATTTTTCAGATTAAAGGTTCTAGCATCTTGATTCCATCTGCACCTGTCATATTAATGTTACTGTGACATGATTTCCATTGATGATTGTCACTTAATTGACTCTGATATAACACTTTTGGTGTTAGATATGGCCGGTAGTGAGGTAAAATTTATTTATTGTTTTAATCCTTTGACATTGAATGTTCTGATTGAAAAATGCACTGAGATATTGCAAATAGACTGTTTTTAATTTTAATTTGGACCTAGTAATAGGAATGCAAGGTACTGTACATGGTCTAGATGTGAAATAAAGAGTTTGCATGAGAAACTTTAATATGGCTGTTGTCTGAACCAAGTTAATGGAATGGTTTACTTTGGTAAATGTAGTAGAAATGTATAAATTTCATCTGTTTGTGATATATTTATTATTAAGCATTAATTGTCCAAATACAAAAGATTGATTCTTAATTTATATGTACTTGTCTTTATGATAATGTAAGGATTTGTAAGGAGGTGATCATGGCCTGTGTGATAGTTCTATATTAGTGATAATACTGAAAACTGAGGAGAATAGTGGTATCCCTCATTGATTACTTTGTGAGAGATACCATCATTTAATCCACAGTTCCACTCTAATTTTCATGCTGAACTATTAAGTCCTCATGGTGAATGTACAAGAAAAACAATTGACAACTATTGCTGTAAAAAATTTAAAAGATTTACAGAAACCTGACAGACATCAGAACACATTTTTGCATCATTTGTCCTCAGTTTGTTAATACAGTTCTTCTGTGGCATTAATAGTTAGTGTTCCAGGAAGTCTTGGGGTTGAATCTCAGCCTAAGAAACTGTATATCCAGGCTGAGGCTGACCTTGGAATATATCATGATAGCCTCCTCCCAAATAATGACCTTGTCATTATCAGTCATCCATCTTATTCAAAGCTATATAGCTGCAGTTGAAACATGATTGTTAAATAACCTAAGAATCAATCAGACATTTGTAATGTTGTTTATGTTTAAACATGTGATTTATGCCTAATAATTAAAATTAAATATTGGTCACCAGCCATGAAGGCATAGATGTTTAATTTTTCTCCTCAGTATTTGTTACATTTATCATGAAGTTCTTTTTTGTTCAAGAAGAAAATTTTATGATAAATACTGAAAGATGGCTCCAGTTGTTGGAATGATATTCCTTGCAGAGTTCAGGTAGATGGACAGATTTATTTGCTGTGTACACTCTAAACATGATAGAACCGTAGCATTGGCAGCCATTTATTTCTATATGTAAAACTGTAGAATAACAGTAACCTTACATTTTAAATATCTGCCACTGTGCAAAGTGAAAAAAATAATAATACTAATAATTAGTAATTGTGAATATTTTATAAAAGTTGTAATAGGTAAAACAGGTTTTAGAAGATTATGTTGTAACATGTAAAGGCTAGTTACATTTACTGAAAGCTACGAGTGATATGTTATGGATTAAGTAATGCAAAGTCATTTTTCTGTGTATGAAGATATTTATGTTGAAAGGTATTGTTACCACTACAGCTGCTGCTGCTGCTACTACTACTACTACTACTACAACTACTAGTAGTACTGCATATTTAGTTAATGAGACAGTGCTATATAAAACCGTATAATTGGCCAAGAAGTCTGAAGTTCAGTTCACAGAAATGTTTTAAGATGCAAAATGAACTCTCTCCAGGTAAGAGGCTGGTGGTATCTCAGCTGGTCCAGAAATTCTCTGCAGCCTGTTACCATGTGCACAATAACCTCCAACTGGAAATTATTCTGAGCCACTTGAATCCAGTCCACATCCTCGTACACTATTTCTGCGATATTTGATTGAAGTTGAACAAGCATTCATTACTGTACAGTGCAACATTTGATTTCATTCTACATCAAGAAGTAATCTTCTCTTTTTGCTGCATTCTCTCATTACTTTTCTCTCTTAGGTCTAAATTTTCTACTATCACTCTGACCTTGAACACTGTAATCTGTGTTTTATGATGCTGGAGTTACAAATCAAACCAAACTTGTGTGGTAGAGTGGTAATTGTTCCTGCTTTGTATTCAGGAAATCAATTGAGGAAGGGAATTTGTTTCTCACTGAAAACTGGTAGTCATGACCAAGATTTTTGTGATTTTTCTCAGTCCCTCTAGACAGTTTATAGCTCAGCTGATGACTGCTTCTTTCGCTATTCATAATCCATAGTAATCATGTTTTTCAATACTATAGCCTCTGCAATGAAAATGGAAGAAACATTGTTCTTTATCACATTGTTTCACATGAAAGCTACTTCTGCTTGGCTTGTTATGTCATTTGCCATAAGCAAGATTGTAATAGTTTTAAATTAATTAAATATAGTAATATTTTGGGTGATAAACAGAAAACATCTACGGAATAAAACTCACATATTTCAAAGAATGTCTCTGTTATTATTAAGGAGTGATATGATTAATGACAAATTGGCCAAGAACCAGACAGGGAGAACAACCTTTTCAGGGACAGCCTCAGCT